TGAAATAATAATATTTTTTATTAAACTTTTGTGATAAATTTATATATTATTTTTTTGTGACAAAATTTTTGTTAAAATATTTGTGTTGTAATTATGTAAATATCTTTTTTATTTAATATCAATTTTAATAATTAATGACTAAATTTTACATCATAATTGCATTTGTGACGAATAAAATTGTTATAAATAACTTGTTATAAATAACTTGTTAACAATATTAATTTTTTCTATCACTATAAAATTATTTACTGTGACAGGTGCTTAATTTGTCACTAAGAGTATTAGTGACAAGGGTTTTATTAACGGTTTAAATTTTATCACTAATAATAATTTGTGATGAAAAATAAAGATTTAATGATCAATAATTTAGTCACTAAATGTGGATTTTCTTGTAGTGAATTACATCAAACAAGTATTGTGCTTTGCCAATTTTCCTCCATCAGTTTTCCATTTTTTTTCCTCTTGAAGTATTTTTGGGCGTTTCTACTCTCCACTTTCTATAAGTTCCTGCTTCACTTCTGTTTCTAGCGCACATGTTTCTCCAACTCTTGCTCTTGTTCATGCTTAAAAAATTTTTGCAGGACCCAAAATTCTGAGCCTTTTACCCAATTGGGCTTCTCTCTTGTTCACCATCTCTAAAGTCTAGATTCTTTTCAGGCGTTGTTTCTCCCTCTTGTGCACAGGCCTGCTCTAGCTACATGCTGCCAAGCACATAACAGGCCTGCTCCGGCCCACACTAAACATGGGCTGAGGTTATGGAAGGCCACCAAGAAAGTGGAAAACTACTTTGCTTTGGCCCCAACTTTTCCTTCTTCTAAGATGTGACAAACTTTGAAATAGACAAGGGCTACTTTATCCAATTTCAATATATTTTGTAACTTTCTTATCTGATGCTATTCTTAAAGTTGCATGTAATTAGTTTGATGGATTTTATCATTAGCAATCATAATTTTTGTAACTTCCTATTCTTTCCTATTTCAGGTTTCGAAAAATGAAGTGATATTATCTTCACACCTTCATACACAATGGGATTTTCTACTACAGGCAAAGTTGTGCGTGGTTTGTCCCCCCCTCCCCCCCTTTTTTTTTCAACAAGATAAAAATCTAATACTTGAAGTTAATTCAACCCTACTTATTATTTACTTAAAGTTAACACATGACTTAACTTCGTTAGTTAGATATTCTCATTCTTTATTCAACACATGGAGAAAAGCATGTGATTGGGGATCTTTCTTTTCATCGAAGCCCCTAAATTTATTTGCCATGATGTGTAAACTTTTATTCTGTCATGTAACACTTGCATGGGGTGCTTAAGCAGTTTGTAAGTATTATTACTAAGACAAGGGAAGGAATTAGAAAGCTCATCAAAGCATTTGTCATATATATAGCTATCCACCAACACCTATTGGTTCAAGTGGAAGGAGCTTGGTTCCTTTTAAACAAGATCTCGAGTTTGAGTCTTGTAAATAGAGAAATAGGCAATGGGAGGAGATTCTCCCTTATAGGGTTTGATGCGGCTCAACTCTGGGTTAGTCGAGATCCAATATGACTTTCATATACTGAGAGATTAGTATCAAAATATATATATAGCTATCCCATATGTACTTACGTATTTAGTAGAGCAGAGAATCATTCTATTGATATAGTTTTCTTTTTTACTTTTCTAATTGATAAGAAAGGGATCTAATACTTGAAGTTAATGTGACTCTACTTGCTTTTCACTAAAGTTAACATGAGACTTAACTTTGTTAGTTAGATATTCTCATTCTTTACTTAACATATGGAAAAAAGCACATACATATCTATAAGAGTTTTTTAACTTCAAATTAGTATTAAAAATAACATAATTCAAATTCAAATAAAAAACTAATAAAACTTGTTAAGATTCTATGGGCGGCATTTATTTGTATAATTACATAGAGCTATCTAAATTTCAGAGCTAAAACATATCATGTGCAGTGGGTTTAATTGAAAGTTCTCAGAAGCTCTCTTAAAAAATAATCCTCAAAGTTCAGGTCAATATCCTTTTCTGATTGGGAAATCAATTTGGATGCATTTTTTACCCTTTTTTTCTTTTCTAATTTGCACTTTTAATTTTTCTAATGCGTTTGTGTGTTGAAGCAAAGAATAAGAATATGTGAGTAACAATATTGATTTTAACTTTTAATGTTAACTTTGGAATAACTTAAAGTAGTCCCAATCTTTTGAGTCATGTATGTGTATATATATATGTATATATATATGATCTTTGTCACCCCTGGAGCTCATCAAACTATAACAAAAAAGAAAAAAGAAAAACACTCTTCTTTCTCAGCTACCTACAAAGGTACTGTGTACGTATTAAAGATTG